GTGCGTAGGAGATAGTGGTTTTTTTTTATTAATCTAAGATGATTTCTAACCCTTGGATGTATTTTAATCCAAGGGTTATAGTGTAACTGCTGGGGCTACTCTAAGTGACTCACAGCAGCCCCCGGACCCCCAGCAGTGAGTATTGAGTGCCCACACCTCATCAAGAAAACTGCAAATGAATTCAGCCCCAAAACCCCCTCTTTTCTGCTTAAAATGGCCATGGGATGCTAACAACAGTAATAACGATCCTCAGAAAAGTCCCTTAACCCCCACCAACAATCCCTGCTCTTTGGATACCCCTTGGCTTTTCAAATCGGTCAAGAATTTAACCGTTGCGGCCCTCAATTTGGTCGATTTTGCAGTTCACCAAAAAGGCCCTTTTGCATCCGACCAAAAGAGAAATGTTTTGAGCCCTCAAGAGCAAGGAGAGGCGGAGCAGAGGGCATTTGCAGGCGCTCTAGCGAGCGGGAAAGGTGCTACGGTCATTGAGTTTTACTCTCCAAACTGTGGACTCTGTAATTCTTTGCTGGGTTTTGTGATGGAGGTTGAAAAGAGGAACTCCGATTGGCTTAACATCGTTATGGCTGATGCAGAGAATGATAAATGGTTGCCTGAGGTAATTTATTTTTATTTTTTTCTTTTTCCTCCCTTTATTATTTCTGTGGTTCTATAGGTTGATTAATTCCAAAAATATTGTTTGTGATTTTCTCCATTTTATTTTCCCTTGCTTTTGTTCATTTTACATGAGCTTTGAATTATTGACAATGAGGAAACGGGCACCGTACATGAGCATTTGATGGGATCTCATTATTGAATTTTACCAACTATAATGTGGGCAGAGTTTCGAGTTCCTAGCTGTTAGATCAACTATTACAGTGTGGGCAGGTCAAATTAGCTTTATATATATATGGCTGACAGAGATAAAAAGAACACTTTTTATTTTTATTTTTTTTGTTACGTTTTATATCTGTATCTGATATGGCGCTCGCTCTACTTGTCAATGATCCTGCATCAATCTTCATACCTTTTTTCCCTTTTTTTTTTGTTTTTATTTTTTTTATTTTTTTGTTTATGTGCTTGTGTTTATGGTGATTTAAGTTCTTACTTCAATTCATTTACTTTATTCTGAAAATGCAGCTCCTCCATTACGACATCAAGTACGTCCCATGTTTTGTGTTGCTAGATAAAAACGGGAACGCACTTGCAAAGACTGGCATTCCAAGCAGCAGACTCCATGTTATAGCAGGTGTTTCCCATCTTCTCAAAATGAAACCACCTCAGAAAAATTAGTAACAAATGTCTATCTAGGTTTTGGTATTATTAGGTCGACGTTTGAATTGACTATATAAGATGCTCTCTTCAGGAATTGAAGTCTTTCATTATAATATATGATGAGTTGCTAGTTACTGAAACGATGTTAATCTTTCACTTTGGTATTGCATTGTCAACTTGTTACAACTTCAATGGGGATTCACATTACGAATTTTTATAACCTGTATTTCGCAATGACAAATGACACTTGAATTTAAATGCATTGAGTCCACAATTCTAATCACTCAGTTGAAACCTCCAGACAAAGTTGAAACTCCAACGTAGATGATTATGGCTAAATCACACAACTATCAAAGATTCGCACCCAAAAAATATACCACACCAAATACAAGTAATTGATGCAGATGATTGCGTGCCATTGGTGCAATGATAAATTATATAAAACCATAAAAGCATGAAACCTCACCTAACAATGTAAAGAAATCACAATAAGCTCGATCATAGCTTGAACCCTCGAATGATGTTCCTAGCTTCTTCAAGCACGTCCGTATGACCAACATTTGTCGCCCATATATTCAGCAATGTTGGAATCGATATATCCATTTTAGTTAAGTTCTCTTGCAACCAGCTACAAAGTTTTGCATCCATGAGGCTGGCATCAATAGTCTGAAAAAATAAATAAATAAATAAATAAGATAAAATATATAAAAGCAATTAAAGAAAGATAGCCAAATTTGTAAGCCATTGAGTGGGAAAAGGACAAAGAAAAAAAACGCAGTAGTGTAGTTTCAAAATAAATGGTTTTCATGAACCAATAGAACAGGCCAAGGAGTAAAAAGCCTCAAGTTTAATCAAAGCATAGCACCTCACTATATATTGTAGTGCCTAGTTGATATCTGAAGAAGCAACTACCACACACCACAAGCAACTAACATCAGAAGTAAGGTTCAAAGTGGGAAAATCTACAATCTTCAATTATCCAAAGAAAAGCCATAATACAATGTTACAATAAGATATCTAATGCAATTTCAGTCACGTATAATGATACTGTTAATAGTGACAGTGGCAATGTCATATGTATATATATACATATAACAGCATCACTGTGGCTGATAATAGCATCACATTTGACACATAATGACGTAAAATAGCTCATAATGACGTAAAATAACTCCAATTTTGTCCGTGTCATTCCCTATTGTACTTGGTTCTCGTAAACACATAACTGTAAAGTAACTACAAATCTCAAGGAGAGACTCTGTAAAGTAACTACAAATCTCAAGGAGATGTTTGTATTAAACGAGGGTCTACTTGTAAATTCTGAAAGATACTACCCTGATTAAGTTTAATCACAAGGGATGATTTATAGCTTATCTCAAATCAAAATGGTCTCTTTATCCGGTGGAAATTTCAATATCATGTCTTTAAAAGAGAAAAAAAGGAAAAAAAATAAAATTCATCTGTCAAAATCAGAGTTGTTACTACTATTCAGAGTTTGTTTATGCCTGCTACTAGCTTACCCAAGACACGCTGGAAATAGCATCAGCAATCAAGCTTCTGATAAAGTCTTCACCCGAGCTGCCAATTAATCCATCCGAACCAACAGAAAATGAAAGATCTTGACACGAAGAGTCAAATACGGACCCATAATTTTTCACCACAATTCTGCCATGCTTCTCTAACATCTGATTGAGTTGGTTTATAGTGGAGCTGCATTGTGGGCCCGTGCCAGATTTAGATAGCCCAAAAGTTTCTGCTGAATCTTGAAGTAAATACTCTTTGGGCTCTAACCCAAGTAACATTGCAGCCCTCTCAGAGTCAGCCCAACAGCAGCAGCAGGATGACCCATCATCTAAACATTCAGAAAGGAAAAATGGACAAAATGAAACAACTTCATGGAAAGTTTCATGTGAAAAATTAATTATAATGGCATCAATGATGTAAAATCTATATATTGCAGCCTGGAAAGGATTTAATGACAAATTCTTGATCCACGCTCTTTCTGAAAATAAACTGATATTTTAGCACTGAAAAAATCCAAAAAGAAAAAGAAAAAGAAAAAGAAAAAGAAACTAAAAAAGGGATGGTTGTCAATGCTTTTAATTTTATTAAATTTATATAGGGAATTGTATTGTGGATGAACTTAAATGTATACTCTAAACTTTAAAAATACAAAATATCGGGACAGAACAAGTACCTATGACAAAACCAGCAAATGGTATCCCCAAAGCAGATTGTACAGAGGTTGCACTTGATTGAGAAACTGCACTTGTTCCAGCTTTCTCCATTACAAGTATATAAACAGCTACAACCTGTTGTCAATTTTTGCCAACCAAAAGTCCATAAAACAAAACTAATTACTTCAGAATTGGAAATGGCCGTCACTATAATGGAACAAAGCAACTAAAAAAGAGGATTAAGGTGAAAAACAACATAAATACAAGGTATCAACTCGAGGAATTTGCAAAAGATTTTACCCTGCAACGAAATTGCATCGGTTTAGGCTCTAACAATTGGAATGCATCACAGATAAGTGATATGGGAATTACTTCCGGAATAGGAATACCAGTTAAGCCCACAGGTGTACAGGCATCATATTCCTCCTCAGCGAGTATTTTATTCATCAAGCATGTGTTGTTAATTGTGATGAAAGATACAGGCGTCATCATATACTTGTTCTGCCCACTGGGAATGAAAATGTTTCCAGTAAAGATCATGAGACAAATGAATAATTACTAGTCCACAATAACATATCGTTGTAGGAATTTATAAATCACATAATATAAATTCAATAAACAATTATCCTAGAAGATGCTTTAATTTCTAGGACATTAACATAGCGCTAGATATTATTTCATGAGCAATTATAGTATTTCCTTAATTATGCACCTTTATGCTATTCATCTTCAGACTACCTTGAAGTTCATCTCATACACTAGCAATGGAACTACAGCGGCTTTCACCACATTACGAATCATGGTTAAACCCCAATAATCACAATACTAATACACTAAATGACATGTATCAACTATGGAGAGTGGCATGAAAATCCTATCAACCTTATCGAGAATCACAATACTAATCACAATACAAATTTCATTTTATCAGGAATCTGTCAAAAATCCTATCAACCTTAAACCGTGGTACATTTACAACTTTCTTACATACAAATTTCATCTTATCAAGAATCTTGACTTTATTAGATTTTATTCGAAATTCATAATTTAGTAAATATCATCGAATAATGTACTTTTTAAATCAAATGAAAATAAATACCCCTTCAAATTAAATAAAAATACGTGCTCTTAGTATTTTGCTTGCCTTTATTCTACAATTGTGGGTGTGTAGAGTCGAGCTAACTGCAATAATGGAACTTGCCGCGGAGCGGATCAGTCCAATAAAAATACGTGCTTAATTTTTTTGAGTTCAAATTTAATTTGACATCTTGATTTCATTTTAATTATTCATCGATAACGATGTCGTCGAGTAAATTATACACTTTTATTTCACGACATGTATATGAACAATCTTATTGCATTCTATTATATAATAAAAATAATGTGATATATGAAATGAATGTCTTATTTATTATATTTTATGTAGATAGATGTCAAGAATAGCATAGAATAATTTAGATGTTTATAGACATGGTTTTCAAGAATAATTTAGAAAATTTAAGGTGATTTCCCATAAATAATATAGAATATATTAGGTATTTGTACACATGATATATAACATTTTATGTACTTTTAATATTTTAGATAGGCATGTTTTATAAGTTTTTTAACAAATGAACTTTCAATTAGCTTCAATTAATTAAGAATGGTAAACATTTGTTAATTTCCAACAAATTAATAATGTACATGTTAGTCCTATATTTTAAATTTATAAGTATTATTTAATATTATATACCCGTGCATGACATGGAATCCGTACTAGTTTGCAAGTGGAATGGTTAGTTTTTTTATGGACAAACTGAAGCAAGTTCACTGGAATGTTAGGATCAGGATTTTGAGATATGTGAAGAAATCTACGGGGAAAGGACTATGGTTCAAGAAAAATTGGCATTTGGAAATTAAAAGCCTATTCAAATGCTTATTATGTTGGAATGAAGAATATCAAACGCTCCATTTCAGGTTATTGTACTTATTTCGGGGGAAAATATTGCAACTTGCTAGATCACTGTTAAGGTTGAGTATAAAGTCATGGCGAACACAGTAACTGAGATCTTACGATTGAAAAACCTATTCGAAGAACTCGGGTTCACTTACACTGAACCACTAACAATGAATTTTGATAACCAAGCAACTATTCAAATTGGAGTAATCCAGAATTTCACTAGAGAACAAAGCATATTGAGGTTGACTATCACTTTATTCAAAAGTGTAAAGTCAAAAAATTTCAACTCATTTCGTATCGTCCCAATCAAGTTGCAGATATAGTGATATATTAACTAAATGGTTAGGAGGATTACGGTATTCTAAATTGTGAGGCAAGCTGGAATTGACCGACATATATGTTCCAACTTGAAGGGGAGTGTTGGAAATTATATTGTGCATATGGGTGTGATGTATCTTTCTCTTGATTTAGACAGATAAATATTTTTTATGGGAAGGAGATCATTTTTGTGTACGACACAATCATGGAAATCCATTTGCCTAGAAAGGAGAGCTTCTTCTCCCCCTACTCTTATGGTTGTGCCATTACCAATCGATCCTTGTGACCAGCTTACTTACTTCTCGAACGAGATCTCGCCCCACAACTTATTGCAAGTAGAGGCATCAAAGCTTGCCAACCTAGTAAAGGGGTTGGAGATAGAGGGTTTTCTATAGTAGATACAATTTCCAGGTTGGAATTCTTTAGATCAAATAGGCTTGCGTTGACCAGGGACCAGGGAGTTTGGCCAATCACTCCCCTTTTTTCTAAATGATCCAAAATAGAATTCCCCACCACATCTAATAGTATATACTCCTTATGGAGATTCCTTTTGGACTTGCAATACACATAAAAATCGTTTTCTCTCTTCATATTTTTCAAAAATAATTACTTCAACAAAGAATATGATACTTTCGGAGTAAACAAGAGGCATTTGAATGCATACGATCCTTATTGCAACAAAACCCATTTAGGGTGTAACCGTAAAAAACAAAGGCATGCGAACCAACGATAATGATACAAACATAGTGGGAGATCGCATACCTTAGTACGAGGATCCGGTGAAAGGTTGCATAAGTATCCCTGCCTAAGCCAACAGGGAAAGTTTGTTTACCTACATCACAGATGATTCTGACCTGAAAAAAAATAAATAAATAAAGTAAGACAGAGAAAATTAATCAGTATTAAGCAAAACAGTTTGGTACAAGAAGAAACTACCATTCGACTGTCCACCAAAACATGCACACATACACCACCACCATTCCCATGGTGAAACATCGGTAAATAACCTTCACCAGCTATGATAGGCTTAGGTTGTGCAGGAAAAGCATCATCATTACATTCATGCAAAGCAACTACAAGACCGTGTAAAGTTATTAGGTTTCCTTCGGGCAAAGTGCAATTATAACATGAAATGCTTAAAGACTGCATGGATGCATCTATCACAGGCTGAACAGGGTCAGGGATGTCCACTTCCTCGAGAGAGTAATTTGGCCCAGAAGGACCCCTATCCCATGCCTTAGTGAAATTCTCCAGTAAATTTAGAGCACTGGAAGGGACAAACACGCTAATTTCTGAATGAATCTTACTGTCCACACCATTATTGGGCGGACATGGAAATGCATTGGAGAGATGAGAACTATGGAGACTTTCGATTGATGAGAACGTGAGACTTCTGAAAATGGTACCAGAACAAATGTTAACTTTAGCACGGCTGACTTGATAATTTTCTTTTATAGAACATAACATGTCTCCCTCTTGATCTGAAACTAGGTAACAACTACCAATTTTGGCTACCTGCAATTGTAGAAAGATACAATATAAACTAATGAATAAAGAAGCTCATTAGAATATTCTATTTATAGATGACAAAAACAAGATAACACACCTCGTATCTGCTAAAGCTATCAGGGTCAAATTCCAGTAATACCTTCCTCATTGGTAGTTTGCAGAAGCAAACAATTTCAGTAAGCTCATTAGCACACAAAAGCATACCCGTGCAATAACAATTTACACCTTTAGTGGCAACTACACAAGGCAGTTCTAGTGGATTATTCGAAACGCAAGTATTTTCTATGTAAGGGTTGCTGCAAGAACTACAGGAATCACTTGTTCCATTCCGAACATCATTCAGACCACCATAGGAAGCCTCAATTGAAATTTGCTCAGATTTTCTTCTCTTATGTATAAGATGATTCTCATGTCTGGCTATGTTTTCTACAGAAACCTTTTTATGTTCTGAGGGAGCCACAATCATGGCTGTATCTCTACTTGTCTCATCAAGAAGCAAATCCCAGGGCAAGATTATTGCCTGAGCAAACATGTTGGACCCCTTTGCTAGATCTCCTTGAAACTGAAGAAATTGAGATAAGGCAAAAGATTGTAAAGCGTGGGGCATGCTAGACACAAACAAAAACATCAGTTGTCTTTGCAGAAAGTGTTACCTTTTGCATAATAGGAAATTTGTGTGTCAACAAAAGCAAGTGAAATTTTGCATTTTCAAGCTTCTGGGACTTCTCGTTCAATTCAAAGAAAACAGAATGGCCTCTAGAGTCTCCATCAATCAAACAGTTAAATAGATAGATCGACAACTTCATCCTTTTTAGTGATAGTTCATTACTAAAAATACTTCGGCAAGATAAAGGCTGATATATGGTTGAATCCAAGTCAACTAGTTTTGGGAGCATGCCTTCTATAACTAGTCTGAAGCCCTTTGCCTGAATATCATGAAAATACATTAACATCATTCACAAACCAAGTGGATATTCGTACAAACTGAAGCACATATAAGCAAGTTGTTCCAATGCCACCTCAAATATCCTATCAAAATCCCAAGATTCTGAAAGATCATGCATGATGTCAACTTCACCAGTTGCATCAACTAGCTGCAATCTTCTGGAAGATAAAGAAATCTAACAGAAGATTCAAGTCAAACTGTAAGAAACGTTAGTTTTTCAATAATTAAGTTGACAAAGATCCAAATTAATAGAGTTATTCATAACATCTATACTTATGAGATTCCATGTGCTCCTATTCATTTAACAATTGCCCAAACAGAACAAAAGAGCCAAAAAAAAAAACAATACTCAGTTTTAAATATCACAAGCGAAAATGGCAAATTATTGAGGGAATCTTGGTGTAATGATGTTTGCTCTTACCTTTAGCTTTCCCAGAACACTAACACCAATTTCATCAGTGCACAAGATTCTTCTAAGTGATTGCACATGAGTTCTTCCACCACAAGATAGCAACTTTTTTGGAGCTCCGCAACCAACAGTCGATAAATTCTCCTGGTCAAGGATTTTATTCCAAAAACCCTCACAATAACTAATTAAATTACCAATAGGTAGCACCTGAAACAAATACATACAAGCACCAAATATGCACACCCGTCAAAAGCTTCAAGACTCGGAATATTATTACATTTGATGAGAATAAGTTCAAAGAAACAACTACGACCATTACAATCAGAAAATAATTCACACGCTTAATCTCACCAATCTCAGTGGACCATGAAGTTCTTCTTTGGCACCACAAGACAGATCATGCTTGCAGAATTCGAGCATTATTCCTTGCTGCATAACAAATGTTTGCTCATGAAGGTGGCAAATATTGTTGAGAAAACCAGTCCAAATGTTATTCTAACTAAACAAATTTTACCTGAGATCGGTAAGCTGATGATGGCAAAAGGGATGTAGCATACTTCTGAGCCATTCCTGCCTTCTGGGAACACCTTACATCGTAAGACCAAATCAGATTAACTCTATGTAGGAAAAGAGAATGCATATGTGGGATATTTTAAATAAGCATGTACATGTTTCGATCCCAAGATCTCCTTCTCTGAGAAAATTCCAGCAAACTTCTTTCTAAAACATGAGGCGACTAGCAATGCCCTGGGCCACAAGAATGGCATTAAGTCAGCCAATCAGACACATTGAAAATGAATAAAATTATTCAATCATTAGTACCATAATCTCGCTGCAAAAGACAATGAATCAATGAACTTTTGAAGAGGACTTTGGGAGTGTGATTTCAAACGACACCTGCCAGAATAGAATCAGGTGTAAATACTGGATACAAATTAATACTGTTCACACATGTAAAATTATGATTGCAAGCTCTAACCCTGTTTCTAATGGGGAAAATGACTCCACACGGATGCTAGTCCTAAAGCAAGCACCAAGTATCATCATTTTTCCCCATGGAAATTTTGGATCAACAAAATGAACATTTTTCAGAGTCACCTATATAAAATAAGAAAGCATGTTAACAATTGATAAGAGATTGTCAGGTACATCAACACAGTCACAAAACTACTCCAACCTCCACAAGCATGTCAAAGAAAAATCTATATTACTGTGAAACTGATGTCAGAAAGAAAAATCTATATTACTGTGAAACTGATGTCAGAAAGCAAAGTGGCTGAGCAAACATACGATTGCACCAAGTCTGACACTGTGTGGCACATTGATATGCTGTTCTGTTAATAATAATATAACATCTCGATCGAACTCAACAACAACTCCCTTCATGTAAATACCAGTAATGACCCCAGTATAGCTACCAAATTCAGCATTTTTCCTTATTTCTGCATTGTGAATACGACCTTGATCCTTGAACGTAGCAATGTGTAATGATGTGTCATCTGTTGTCACGTGCATCAGTTGGGACTCTTCTTTCCTTATATAAACCAGTCTTTTCTTTAAACCCCTTAACATAACTATGTTGCCAATAAACCGTGACATCATGGGATGCCATGATGATGTCGAGCCACAAAAGTACACAATTGCTGTCTTACTAAAATGATGGTCTTTCACGTTAATCTCACTCAGATCTTTCAGTTGCCGAACCAGAACTTTCGAAACACAAAATTTGCATTGACAAGTAAGAAGACTAACAAGAAACCCACTAACATTTTTCGAACTACTCTCACCACTTGTGCAAGGAACAACAAATACAGGGCTTATGGACTCAATAGCACCAAAAATCAAAGAGCTAGTTTTGCTTTTATCCTTAACGTCACAAGCTCCAAAATCCAAGCAAAATGGACCCAAATTCGGATAACAACAAACTTCCCCACTCCATGCTTGGAGAAAATCCCAGGTAATAATCTCCAGAAACCCACTCTTGACACCCTTATTATCACATTTCAGAGGAATAAAATTCCAAGCGAGGACCTTAATCTCTCTGCCAATCATTATTGGGTCGAAGTCCAAGACGTCACAGCAAATGGTAGCGGAATAATCAGAAAACTGAAAGCAACTGCACTTAATCGGTGAGGTAAGCTCAAAGAAAGAGGGCAGTGTAAGAGCTCCGATTAGGGTGGTCGGCTGATTCAAAGGTTCGAGCGTCTTAGGGTTAGCATCTTGCAGGGTAGCAAAAGAGGGTTTCTTCCGATTGTCACGGCCAGGATTCTTTTGGGGCTTTGAGATGAAGACAGGACGGGCGGCGACGAGAGATGAGGCGGCCGTGAGGGGCCGGCCACGCTGAATGATGTGGGAGATGGTTAAAGCAGTATTTGTTACATCTTCCATTTATGAGCATATTAGATTTCGTATGTTTGTCTGTCAGAGAGAGCATAAGTGAAGAATGAGCAGGCGGGAATACTAATACAAGGTGGGATAAAGAGTGCCTGCAGTGCACACTTACACAGTAGACTCTGCTGTGAATTTGTGGCCATTAGATTTGATCTTTAGTTACTACAAAACAAAAACAAAAAACTATTCATTCAACCCACATTAAAATAAAAGGCAAAAAAACATTCTAAATAAAAAAATGTAAATTGTTTCCCATTACCTTATCATTTGTCTCCTTTCCTTACGTTACTTTAAAGATTAATGTTGAAAGTGGTGAAGTATAAGACTTTTCACCTCTTCTGAAGCTTCCCTAAAGGACTGAATAGGCAAAAGAAACCATCCAAATAACTGCTCATTCAAATAATTAATGTTCTTATTCTACATTTGTTTTTTCAGTTAATTCAGCTTTTACTATACATTTTTTTTTTTCTATATTTTTCTACTCATCTTCTATTTTCTTGCATATTTTTCATTCATAGAACATGTGTAAAAAAAAATATAAAAAGCTATAATAAAATGTTAAAACATACTTAATCATATGCCATAAATTTGATTACATGCCAAAACAATACAAAAGAAATTAACTACAATTTAGAGTAGTCTAAACAATGACATTCTTCAAAAAACAAAAAAAATAAAAAATAAAAAAAATACAAGATCGTGATCCGGTAGAGAAAGCAAAAACGCCTCCTACGAGTGGTTGGTATTTTGTATCGCCACGGGACCGTACAAAGGTTTAGGCAAAAAGAACATCAACATTAGAAATTAAATCATGCTTGACATTCTAAAAAAACATAAGTTCAACTACCTCTTCAACTTGCACATTAAATTTCTTGGTTTTCTTCTTTCGAACCTCATGTAAGGGCTTCATTCTTTTTGTTCGTCGTTTCCCTTCTTTCATCTTTAGACCTTTCAAGTTTCCAATGTAACTTTCTACATTTTTCAAGATATCACCATCTTTGGAAATTTCTTCTCTCATTGAAGCCTCGTATATTTTGTCCATGTTTTGTTCAAATATGTCCTCCATTAAGCTACGTGCAACCGCACTCTTTGAAGCTTGGTATTGTTGGGTTCGCCTGTACCATACGGGTTATAAGCAGCGGAAAATTATGTTTCAAAAACAAGTATTTATCATATAAATACTTAACCCATACGTACATATAGCGAATGCACGAATCGTCATCATTTAAAAACATGTAATAATACAAATTTTGATTTGTTGTAAGTAAATTAAAATTTACCTTTGTTCTTGAACTCCTTCAAAAATGAAGATGGTTGAGGAAATCAATTCCCGGTTTGGTAACTTCTATTTGTTGATGTTACTCGCTTTAGGAATCCAAATATCTTCCCTCTAATCGTATCCACCTTTTGAATTCGGTTACGAAATAGTTTCTTCGCTAGTAGAAACTACTCGGTTTTATTCAATATGTATAGAATATATTTTGAGGAGATTTTACAAGAACTCTTTCTTGTTTTAGATTTTGAAGAACACTTCTTCTTTTCTCTCTTTTTCAACTCTTGAAAAACTTAAGATCAAATCTTGGATTAAAATGAACATCATGTATGTCCATATTTATACTAAACATTTTAGTATAAAATAATAATATTTGGTGGAATATTTTCATAAAATATAAAAAGTCTTCAAGAATATTTTCATAAAATATTCATTCTTGAATAGGACTATTCCCACTAAATATTGTATTAATAAAAATAAGATTAGTTATGTAGAGTAGTTAACAACTCCAAACCACCATAATTAATTTATTCTTATTAATATAAAATAATAATTCTTGAAAACAATTTTTCAAGACTTTATTATTTTAATCTTTTGTCCCATCTCCTCATTTAATAATCAAATTATTATTTGGATTTGAAATTTAAAATCTAATTTTAAATTCCAACTATTTATTTAGTAATTTCATTAATTACTAAATTAATATCCAAAAATACAATTAATCAATCTAATTGATTAATTTAATATATTCCTTTAATTGACATCTAATCAAATTAGTTTTGTCAATTAATTCTAACTCTTTAGAATTACTATTTGAATTTTACCTTCATTCAAAAATTGGTGTGACCTTTTAGGTTCACAATTAATACTAGTAGTGGGCTTACAACTCTTTGTAATTTGAATTAATCTAATTAGTTCTTATTCATGAAATTAACTCCTTAATTTCAAGAACCCACATATCATGGGAACATCTAGCAAGTAGCATGAGTCTAGTATTAAGTGAATAGCGAGTAAACCTATTTCGATTACAAGTCCATACATGTAAAATCCTTTCGACATCCAATTTCTCGATTAAATCTTGGGTATGATTTTGTCGAAACCCAAATTGATTTAATAACTATGATTCCATTTCAAGTTTAGTAATTCGTTTATGAATCTCTATTCATCCCGCCTTGGCCAAGGACTTTGAATTACTAACTATGAAACACATAGGAAATTCACGTATCTTCATACGTGTCGAATCCTTTGTTGACCACTGACAAACTTCCATACATATTAATATAATACCCAAAAAATTCCCTTTGTATGATTGTACTAGCAATCAAAAGGATAAATCAAAGTAAAATATAATATGCACAAAGTTACCATCGTGCCTCAAGTCTAAGGATTAATCATGTACTATTGTAACATGAAAATTCTTATTCGACAGATAAATTATCATTAAGAATTTTCATACGGTCATATTCAGTGAACTTGTTCTCTAACAAGCACCCACATATATGTATTTGCGTCCCACGCTAATGTTGATGGAATGCAACATTCTTGTCCAACAAGTATACATCATATGTGCAAGTCTTTTCCGGATTTATTCGATATCCCATCTCGAAACATCCAACGACTTGGAACTGTATTTAAGATAATAGCTTTCAAGGTATGTTCCATGATTACCATCTCTATGCGCAACCATACCTTATAGCTATATGTGATCTACGGATTTTATCTTAAGTGCAAATATAGGATAAATGCTTACTCTTAAAATAAATTAATGCCTTTTTAATTAATATAATTCCAATAGATTGTATTTACAAGTAGAATACGTCCAATCTGATTGGAACGTCGGGTATCCTACTCTAACAGGTATGACATTCTTAAAAACAATGAATGCATTCTCCCGTTCCATTCCATGAAATTATGACCAATATCCTTGGATTTTGAATGATCAAATCTCCTTGTTTTTCGTTCCCACCGACTTAATATGTACTTATCGGGAAGCTCTAATATATCAAAAAACTTGAATACCCTCAAAATATGAGAACATATGAATCCTTTACTCTCGAACATCATGCAACTACACGAGAAGAAATCATCGCTAACACGAAGCACATGAAATTCTTTATGAAAAACACCATGAAGCACAATCACGAATCAAGTAGGCACCTCAGTAGTCTCTTTTTCCTTAATTATAGATATCATTGAGCGCTTGTACTCTTCTTGAAAAAGATGGAATATTGATGGTGTGTACCTTTTTGATGCCTTTTGTAATATCGGGCACTCGGCGACGCTCATAGAGGGAACTTGTTGTCGTGCTCTAAATTCAGAAGCCATCTCCTTATCTCTTTTATCAGCCACCACTTGATCAAAATGGTTAAAAAATCACTGATATGTAAAGCACAATTTAAATGATTTTTTAAATCTCTATTCAAACTCTCACTTAGTTGGGTACTACGAATACCCAAAGTGAAAACACTTTTCATGAAACACCTTGCCCATTTATTCTTTACAGCATAAGTTCGCTTCAACCAAGAGTTCTCTTGTAAGTCGTGCTTTTGTAACATATTACTCCAAGAAGCTTCAAACTCATCAACATCAGTATACTCATACATACATCGATTAAAATCTCCCAATAAGTCGATTTCAGGCATATGAAAACAGGATAAATGCTTCAGTGCATTTTGATTAATATGCCACGTGCACAAGCCATGAAAAGAATCCCCCATAACTATACCGAGTGCATTAGCCATTGCTACATCTTGATCAGTAAATATGGTGAGAGGTTTCTTTCCACCGTGTTCCCTCAAGAATGTCTCGAAGAGCCAAACAAATGACTCTACTGTCTCGTCATATAAGAGGGCAGCACCGAATATGGTGATCTCTCTATGATGATTAAAACCTGTAAAAACGCCGAGGGGTCTCAACTCTTTGTTAGTCCCATATGTCGTGTCGAATGTAATAACATCACCAAAATCAACATAATCGACTTTCATTTTACCATCAACCCAAAATATGTTACTCACCAGGCCACCATCATCAAACTCAAAATCATAAGAAAATGAAGCATCAATGGTTTTTTTCCTCTCGAAATACTTCATAACACTACCAAGCTCACCTAATATTTTTTTCTTTCTTTCTTCTATTTTTCAAATATATTTTTTGATCTTCTTTAATAAATCCAAGATGCTCTCTACCACCAGCCTCCCTAATCAACAACTCTTGAGTTGCCTTAGGGGTAATTCCAGAATCATTTGCGATGTTGATGGCAAATGCTTGAGACATGTTTACATTCCTATTACAACGAAACATATGAACGGTTTCATTTGACTCAAGCTCATGATTATGAGTCGCCACAAAATCCTTAACAATATATTTTCCAGAAATCGGGTTTAGTGCTACATTCAGCTTTGCTTGGCAACCAGTTCTTACCTGAGAGCGTTGACGAGATTTATCGTTGACCTTTTTGTCATCTTTACGAAACCCCTCTTTATAACATACGAATACGGCATTTGTAACTACTCCATCCTTTCTCCGCTTGTTTGAATAATCTTTTCGAACACCAAAGCCTATCCTTTTGCAATATTTTTGCCAACAATCCCAAGCATCATCTACACAAATGAACTCCGTTCCAATTCGAAGGCCTTCATTTAGTATATCATCAATATTTGGCGAGCTCAAGTTGACTACTTCAATATTCGCAGCTTCAATTCTACATTTAAATACAAATAAAAATAAAAAAAAGTTGTAAAATATCCACAAATAAAATATGCCAAAGGACTTTCCAAAAGACAAAAGCACATCAAACTAGAATATAGAGATAAATAGGAATGAACCTAAATGATCAAGTAAGAAAATAATTTAACCAGTTNCCTCAAATTCTAATAGTACCATCTTGTTACTTATTGGCTAAACATTGAGGGGAAAAAAAAAGCACAAGACATTTACACAATTTTCATATTTTCATCCTCAAATATTTACAGCTTTAATTCTATATTAAAGTCAAATAAAATTAAAATGAACAAATTGTAAAAATTACAAAAAAAAAAATAAAAAAAAATAAATAAATAAATACCTTTGAATCTCTAAATTATCCCAATCTACACACCCATAGTCTTCATTTACGGGATTATTTTTGGGACTTAACATATCATTGTTTGGTTGATCATAGCATGACATATTGTAGATTTTTTTTTTATTTGTTTGGGGCTGAACCGCTCGAGAAATGGAAAGAAGGAAAGAAAAGATGAGGGCTGCAGTAATGGGGGCTGGAAGAGGGAAAAAAGGCGCGTGAGTGAAAAAGCAAAAAGGATGAATAATAAATAAAACTATGACCATTAGATTAAAGTGAAATGATCCAACGGTGTTTAAACTCCACAGCACCATCTACTGTGTAAGTGTACACTGCTGGCACCCCGAATCCTACAAGGTGGGGAAATCATGTTTCAACTTTCAATTTGTCAGCTTAAAAAGTAAAAATGGTCATACTGTGGAAATAAATGAAATACGATCATTTTAACATGTAAAATGATAATATTTCATCCTTAATCATTGCTTAGTGATAAAAAGACAATGGAAATATCTTACAACAAATTATAGTTTTACCAAGTATGGAATGAATTCCCACCTCAAATCGATCTCTCGAAAAAGTTAGTACGAAATCCATAGTCGATTTCGATTACACACAAAAATAAAATAAAATTATAATTAGAGATGGTTGGGATTGATTATCTAATGCTTACTAAGGATTATAAAAGTAATTAAATAATAATAAAATAAATAGAGAAATAGAAGGTCTCATCAAGTCCTAAAATCAAGGTTGAACACATAATAGTTTGGTCTAAAGATTGAATCTCTCACCTAAACGTTGTTGGTTCACTCTCAATAACTTTTGTAACAAGAGATTGAACATAAATGAATAGACAAGAACATACAAGTCTAGAGGTTTTGCCCCTAATAACTCTTGTAATACGGTTTCTGACATAGACAAACGAGTATTCTTTAAATGGGTCGATAGTCAATACATTTACTAAAACATCTACCTTATTCGAACCATGTTCGGATAGCCTATTTATTTTCGGTTTTTAGGTTATCTATTTAGATCAAATGATGATCAAATAACTAATCATTATAATCACGCAATTCGAACAGGCATGAGCTATCACACATTTAACACAAATTCTAGACAAAAAATGAATATCCTATATCTAGGTGAATGAATTAACTTATGTTCGGAATAATTCCACGTTAATAGAAATTGTGAACTCGTATTCAATTAACAGTAAGAATAAATCAATGAAAACTTGTAATAACAATATAAATCACAAGCTTTTGTTCCTCATTGATCCAGTTATAACAATTCGAGCACAAGCCAAAGTAAAATTGAGAAAATTCTGAGATAAAACTATTTTTAAAACGTTTTTGGAGTTCAGAAGCATTCGAATGGATCCCCATATTGTTTTGAGTGTATTCAAGGATGACCTAATAGTATAGTTTCAAAACGAGGTGAAAAACTCATCCAGGTGCATTCGAGTAACGACACACCGTCGTAGGCGCGATGAGTGCGAGAGACAAGGTGCGCGCGTGCGACACTTAGAATTGGTGCGAAAACATTGCACAAACTTTGCGAGTCAATAATCATATCAGTTGCACATCAAACTATTTGGGGCTTACCTATATGAATTAGTTTGATGGTATTCAAATCCCCTAGTAATCCAAAGTAAGCCAGAAGATCGAGGATGAACCACCTACCTTCTATTGGCCCTTCTTTCAACTCACGAAATTCATCATTTTCTTCATGCTGCCAGCAAAGGCGTGTGTTGCCTTTATTCATAATGTTGAACAACCAACTTAATCTTTGTGATACGATAACAAAATTCATTTGTATGGTAAATGTAGGCAACATGGCCATTGTAGGCACAATTGCCCTCAACATATTTTCTAGGTATGGTTATTTGTATTAACTACTTTATTCAATTTTCCATAACATGTCTAGAAGACTTTAATTGATTACATACTGGAATATTTTGATTGTGTGTGCATTTTGTACTAATTATAATACTAATTTGGTTTCCTTTTCAGTTATTGTACTTGGAGCTTGTGTATCTGAAATCTAAGATTTTTTTTTTATTTTTATTTTTTAAGAAACAATATCTTGAGGATTTCCGAAACCTTTCTATCATAGGTCCAGAAAATCAGTTTTGGACTTGAAAAATAGTTTCTCTAGGTTGTTAATAATTTTATTGGGTCCCAAAAATATTTACGAAAAAAAGAGAGTAAAACCATGGTATAGGGGAAAGAGTTCTCTAATTCCTCAAATTAGCAAAAATGATTTTTTTCACTATATATATATAATATTCTTCTCATTAATATCTAGTTAAATTCTACAAATATAATATCACATACAACCAAGTTTTCAAAATCAAAAAGACATTCATCATCCTCTAAATTTCATTACCAAAAGACACCAACAACGTTACTCATACATAGGTAAATTTCACAAAAATATCATCATACAACAAAGTTTTCAAAAGTATATGGCATATTCATGAGCCTCAAAATATTCCTAGTAACAAACCCCACAACCAACGACACTACTCATACCCCAACCTGTAACGCCCCGCCCTAACTTAATTATCAGAGTGCGTTTGTAAGATATCTTTTTAAAAATAGTTTAAGAATATGATTCGGAGCGTTACTAAAACATTTAATTTATCTTTAAAAATCCGTTACGATCATTTAAAATTTACAACAAAAACGGATTTACAGGATATACAATCCGACTATGAAATCGGATCAAAAATCAAAGTTTGTCAAACAGTAAGTTCAGCGGAATATAGCGTGGCAAAATAAAACAACAAAATATTTAACTTCGATCCACCCGTCAACTTCACAGCTCCGGACCGACTTCATGACCTGAAAAATTTTATAAAAATGGGGCGTGAGTACCACTGTACTCCGTAGGAACTCATACTAAAGTAAACAACAATAATAATAGTAATATCATGATCAGAAGCATATAACATAACCGTGAATTTCCTGGTCAACAGTATAAACCGGACCGGGATCCGTGAATCTACCGGCTGTCATGATGATAATGATAATGATAATGATGATGACAATAATAAGCCGGAATCCATGTGCACATACTAGTGGTAGATGACGCCACTAGAACTTAGAACGGAATTATGGCAACCTGAACCGGCCAACATCCATTCCAAGCGGAAAACATAATTTGACATACCTTGAACATGATATCGTAATTATAATCAATGTAATACCCAGTCTGAGTCCCCACCTGTACTGAAGATATGAAACTGGAAGTGCTGATAGTCGTGAACTGATCAAACTGTAACATAATATAAACAATTACTAAGTACTATGCTCAGATCAATAAATTTAACTGTTAAGATGCTCGACTCGACTTAATATGATATCCGGATATAACGGAACGCACTAAAGGTTCACAAAAATATTTTTAAGTTCGGAAATTACACTGATATGCTTAACTGATCTGGTTCGGCTCGGAAAATAATTTAAATTTCAGAATAAGACTCGGACTGAAAATTACGAACCAAAACAGACTCGAACCGCCGGCTAAACCGGCCGGTTCGCTAACTGGATGAACCGGGTCGGGTTGAACCGGACCGGGTTGGACCACCGGTTCACACTGGACCGGGTGGTCACGGGCTGGCTTGGCTCGGTCCCGTGCCGGGCCTGCTGGGCCATGGCACGGCACTGGACACGGGCTAGGCATGACTGGCCTCGGCACTAGGCGCTGCTGGGCGCGGGTAGTGCGGCTGGCACTGGCCCTGGCACTGGCCGGGCGCGAGGGATGCGGGATAAGCGCGTACCAGGGCTAACTGGGCACTGGGCGTGCGTCTGGCACGACCCAGGTGCGACTGGCGCGAGAAATGACACGGCCAGACATGACTCGTGCGTCTCGGGTGCGACTATGGCTTGTCAGGGCGCTGCCGGGCGACCCTGGGCACGCGGGCGTGCTGTTGGGCACGTCCCGGGCCAACTGATTGCTCGGGCGTGCGGCAGGACACGTCCCGAGGCCTATGAACTTGCTCGGGCTCGCTGTTGGCACGACCCGAGGTCACCTGCGCATGGCACGGGCGACTAGCCCGGGGTCGCGCATACAGCATACTGGAACAGCACTGCCGGCATGGCCGCTATGTGCGGCAGCATGCCGTGACTGGCCCTTGCCGGCCGTTCGGCCACTTCCCTTGACCAAAATGACATAATATGACATGATTAACATATTTATATATACATGGGCCTGAGGGTCATGGTAAAAACATGAAATTTGATCTTATTTGACATGATGGGCCACGGCGTGCGCGATAGGCGCGTCCGACGGCCCTAACGTGTACCCTCGACCAAACATGAACTTTTCTCGGGCAACATGAGTTGATTGACCATATTTTACTATTTAAAGGCTGTTGGAACACAAATGTCCCTAACAAAGTTGATCACAATGAAAGATACCCTAGTAGGGTAATACACGGCCCGTGGGCGCGTGCTACGTGCACGGTCCACTTCCTTTGGCCATTTCATCAACAAATCAACAACTTACCTCGGGCTATCTTTTAAGACTGAACATTTAACATTAAATAATGACTAATAATGCATGGTTTGCTCGAGAGAAGTCGACTACATAAAGAGATGTTATAATATGGCCTAAAATGCACACCTGAGAGCATTTTCGAAGATTACATGAACTTAGACCCATAATTTGAACTTGGTATGATATATATAACATCATAATAAGGTTAGGAGCATATTACCCTTTTGTTCCCCGAGGAAAATTAGCAAGATGTTGATGATGGTTTATTCCTTTTTCCTTCCTTTGCGCGCGTACGTAAGTTGTGATTAAAATATCTTAATCTCGATTATAGTTTGCTTAGGACCTAGATTAAGTTATAAGATGGAAATATGTCCAAGAGTTGGGATTTATAGGCGTGAAAATGGATCAAAACGTGAAGTAATATGCGTGACCAATGAGCTCGTGGCAAATGGCACGTCCTAAGGGCACGAGGTGGATTTTTGCTTGCTTAGTCACCACATACTTGGCACAAAAGGGCCACTTGGCTAAGGTGATGGATATTCACGTGATTTTGCCCCAAATTTCCATCCACTTGAGTTCATTAATTAGTTAAGCACGCTTAGGGCTC